CTGTTCTGTGGATTCAGGTCGTTGTCGAAGGCCACAGAGCTGGGAGAAATTGAAGATGATGTAGTACCGTTAATTGAGAGACGTGAAGGAAGATTCGAAGGTAATGATGATGGAGGTGGAGAGCAGTCTGGAGAAACTTGAGTGATGACAGTTGTGGCGACGGTTGACACTTCCCGGTTGCCCACACCAAAGGTTAGGTCTTCTTAAGGTACCTGAAAGAGATTTGTGTGACAGTATCTAACAGACCTTTCTGGTATGGTAGGACTTCGAGGGAACAAATGTTCCACCGGCATAGCTCGTTGGGTCATCGTAACATACAAGCGCGACCACCACGTCAAGGTAGCACCTATCGGTCGGGATCTGACTACACTGGGATTGACTTAATCACAGGAGGATTTTCAGTAGGACTAGAATAAGCAGATGACGTAGTCCTGTTAGGAGAAGGCGCTGAAAAAATTCAGTGTCTTCTGTACACTTTGAGTGGTAATTTAAGAATGTTCGGGACGCCTTTCTCGTCACCCAAATGGAAATTGTTGCTCCAGGATTGGTTTTCAACGTTGCTTCAGCTGACAATAGAGAATGAATTGTTTGAGTGTGCTGAACACTCCACTTACCTGGGAAGTTGAATCAGCCTTGGTGGCTGAATCACCGACGAAATCTCCTTAAGGTTACAAAATGGTCGGTTGGCTTTTGCCAACATACGCCACCTGTGGCGCGTCAGCGATTGTCTATTAACAGTCAAGCGTACCGTGCTGTAGTCTTCTCTGTTCTACTGTGTGACTGTGGAACATGGCTACTAAAGGCAAAAGACATAAGAAGGCTTCAGGTGTTTGACCACTGTTGGCTCCGTAGTACAGACTGTATTCCATGGTGTCACCACGTGAGTAACACAGAAGACAGACGCAGAGTTCTAGGGAGAAGAGGTAAGTCAGCTGACGAGGTTATGAACCTTCATCGACTGAGATAGTTGCGACACGTGCTACATATATTTAGCTACCATGTGCCTCGTCGCACAATGTTGGTCAAAGTAAGTTCAGGCTGGAAAAGGCCCGAGGCGACCACATCAAAACATGGTATCGAGGTCTTTGACTGTTGGTTTGAGCCATGTGGGCCGATGCAGACTAGCCGGTTGGGGTTCGCAGGACAAGAGAAACCAGTGGTTGGAGACTCTAGTTGATATAGCTCAGAACCGATGTCAGCGACGCAAATGCGTACATATTGTCTTCATCTTAACGTTATACCGAATCTCACCATTTTCTCATTTTTCCTTTCTCTCTTTTCGTACTCTATATTTCTTTTAACTGAATTTCCTTTTTTTCATCTTCCATTTCATTGCCTTTTTACTTGATGTACTGATATGAGGTGTGGCAACTTGGACCATAAGGCAGTAATGTCTGGTCCAATGTTGATTTTGATGATGATGAATACCTTTGCCTCAGTGGTTGGGAGTTGTTTGTCTGAATTATTGAACCGAAGCAGTAGATCCGGAGACATATGCATGTGACTGCAGCTGCACTACTTCGTCTTAAAGTGTCGCTTGATGTTATCAGTTAGGAAGTTTTGTTGTATTCCAATGAATAGGTGTCTAGCAAACAAAACTTACTGCTCAGTGTTCCACTCGATTGTTTGTATTCGTGTCAAAGTTTAGGGTAGCTATCCTCTGATGTGGCTGAGCTAAGTGAACTTTCTAAAAACATTCGCCCACTTTTTACTTACTCCTTTGGTGAAGATATGTTTTCAGCAGTAACACGTTTTTCCTTCCATTTCTCAGCTTCATCTTGAGACTAGAGGTTCCTTATTGTGTGAGGTCTCCGTGATACCCGCCCATAATATAGGACATCGACAATTAAAACACCCTGACTCTGTTAGAAATACAACCCACACTTGAGATACGCTTTATATAGTAGCAATTACACAGCCATATTGTACATACTAATATTTTCCAATTGTCCGGTTAAACACTATTTCTGAGGTTATGACTGTTAGTCAAGAGAACTTTCAAAACCAGCAGTTAAAGAATATGAACATGTTTGCAAACTGCTTTTCGTTTCACAGTCCAACTTTTAACTCGTATATTTTTCAGAATAGGTACTCACAGTGAATGTTCAACTCAGAATTTGATAAAACATGTCACATTGTAAACCGTCGTGAATATCTGTCACTATAGCTCAAGCTACTATGAAATTTCTCACCTAACACCGTTTGAAGCTCCATATCTTTGCAGTAATGTGCCAATAACAGGAACGGAACTTTCACAAGATTGTCACTTTAGGGATGACAAAACTCCGAAATTCGACCTGAGTATTTATCCTAGGCTTGTGTAACCATACAATTTACATGATACAGGACCATCCCCAAGGACTTCACAAACGCCAAAAACACTGGGGCCAGGTGTGGAACAGAATGAAAAACATTAAATCAAATCTCACACCAAGCCCATTTTAATAATCTAGAGCCAGTCGGCGACTATTTGGAAACACCGAGCCAACATAGAATAACTTCCTGGCTATTCCATAAGCACATGCAACGAATAGCAGTGATGTCCATCGGCAACATTCTCACGTATATATATATATATATATATATATATATATATATATATATATATATATATATATATATATATATATATATATATATATATATATATATATATATATATATATATATATATATATATATAATTCCAGTCTCAACTTATGTACAGATAACGCGTATACTCCAGTTTTGCCGTACCCAACCAACAAATCTGCGGACTAGCACATAACACATATTCAGATTTACATATGCATACTCTGAATACACAAGTTGCAACAATAGACATGTCTACTAAGAACAAATGTCAGGCGAAGATATTTTTTACCGAATCACACCAATTTTGATCTTACAAGTGAGGAAAAAGATAGATCAAGAAAACATACTGGTCCTTCAATTTCCTTTTCTCACCGTCTAATTACAATAGTTATTATTTTCACTAATAAAGTAGATCACAGTTCATTCACCTGATAAACTCAGTCATATGTTGTCTTCTTTCTGTAATGCTTAGTCGAACAAATACTACTTTTGTTTCCGCATATGAAATCCTAATATGGTATAGGATCAATTCATAACACAGAAACAAACATGAACAAGTATACTGGTTCAAACTAGTCTATCACTGGAACATGAAAATGTTTCACTTACTGACATACTGCTTAAAACCAATTGACAAAGATATGATATTGGTTAGCTGTACCGAAGCATTTTGATGAAACCCAGTATGGATCCCCACTTAAAAGTCTACGATAATGAAACGACTGTGTTGTCCACCTTGGAGAAAAAGTCCAAACAGTGTACTATGCAATGTATACTAACGACTAATACTACATAATAAACCAGACAACTTTATGAATAATTACGGGCTCATGCTACGTTAGATGTTAGTAAGTAAGCAGGCCCACGCTAACCAAATCCATATGGTTGGCTATCAGAAAGCCACTGATGTACGGTGTATGATACCTTGCCAATCACCTGCACCCACAACTGCATTCCACCCCCGTTTTCACCTACATTCAACCAAAGAAATGAGCAAAAAGTCACAATTACCAGTCAATTTGTTTCAGTACTGTAACCCTTACCATGTGTTTTTGAAATTTTACAGTACCTGTAACAGGACTGTTCTATCAGATTTACTAACTACCTACATAATAAAAACTCGAGGCTACCAGTCCCTTTTAGGGTTGACCATGGCAGATTTTACACCAAGCTTTGGTAAAACGCTGCGAAGCCGTAAGTCAAGTCTGTGGATGTGTTGTAGGAATGACCTTAGTTTGACCCTAGATTTTTAATGTTGGCTTTGGAAAATTGTTGGCTGGAAGCATGGAGGTGGTTTATGATTTAAGGTCGTGACACAAGGTCAGACGAAGGAAGTCAAAAAATGACGACCGAAATCAACTAACCCCTCAGTGATATTGAAAGCCTATGATATTTCAGAGATACTAAATTGGTGTCTACCTACGTAAGTTATATACGGTACTGATGTTTCAAGGTGCAACAGGATAGTTTTATTACTTTACCCGTTAAAGTACCTCATCCGTTCATTGGAGTTCCGCAAACATTTACGTACGGACTACTCGTGCAGTGAAAGAAAAGGACTTCAAAAATGGAGTTCCAGTTCCTCTTGGTAATCCATTTGCCCCATGTTTGGACCACCATATATTACGTTCACTCCATGCAAACGTACTTTTTCATGTTCGCTTTTCGGCAAAACACGTCCTCATATTTGCTCTTTTCACAGCTACTAACCTGACGTTTCAACCTCTTTGCCCTTTACCTAACTTATTTTAATTCGCACATTAAAACCACTTATCCAGACCTCGGCCACCTCATTTTTTCACCGCTGCGTTACTCCTATTGTCTCTCTTCATGTCTTGTAAAATAACGGTCAACTAATAGGCACTTTCTGAGATTTTTGAATAGTGTTCAGCAATAAGTACATGAAACAACTAACTTTGAAACTGACAATGAAATATGAAATAGATACGGACAATGAAGCGAAAACCAAGTTATTCCAGGAGGAAAATATCTGTTTGCTCTTTCAACTCGTCACATGCTGCTTGTCAGGTAAACTTTCCAGCAGCCGAACATTTCATGATGAGTAACGACTGTAGATCTCGACATACAAAGGATTGATTTGCAAAAACCTATGAACATATGTAGAGGTGAAAGTGTAAATAGATAATGAAGTCATGGAATAATTCGATTTCCACTTCACTATCCATACCTATATCGTACTTTATAGTCAACTTCAGAGTGAAAATTTCTTTCCTGTATCGTTACAATTCTTCCTAGGAGTAATTCGGGAGGTGTTTTCCTGTTGACTATTTCATTTACAAGTTGTGAAGAAAGACAATAAGGGTCCTATAATGAACAAGAAGTTTGGGTAAACCAACATTAAGAGATGACGCTAAGTTAAACAGACTGAGTGAAATGAAAAATCAAGCTTTATTCTTATTTCTCACTTGATTATTTTCTTCTCAGCAAAACAGACAGCTCCCTGCTTATTTATCTTCTTCAACCCATGAAAATCCTAACAAGTTTGTTCACAAACTGGCCAATAGAATGGCCAAAGAACTCAGAAATCGACTTCTGAATTGATGGATGCCAAAAATAAAGTCTGAATTTTTTTTCAAGAAAAAAAATTTGGACTCATACAACCAAATACTGCTTTGCAGAGTCATATAGTCCAACCAAAACTGTTTACCGATGCATTATTTGGAAGTAGGTGAAGTTTTGAGATCCTCATGCAACAACAAACTACTACTACAACTACTTACAAAATCCAGAATGACTCTGAGGCGCCAACATAGCACCACTTTTGAAATTTTGCTTCCGAAGTACAACATCTCCAAACTTCATGTTGTAGGATTAGTGAAAGATACTTCTTTGAATTTTACATCTATCTTCTTGGAGAACGTTCTTGGTTTGAGTTGGTCATAGTTGTCTTCCTGATTTCTAAAAACCTGAAAGGACAGAGATAATCGACTATAACTTAATCTGCTTTGTACAGATAGGAAAACTTCTTGGGTACAGCCCAACGGTACCACTAGACTCTAAATGTACACTTAACCTCCTTTTGTAGGCCTCAGAAGAGGGGGCTGTTAAAAATTCTAAAGGAAGGGAGTTCCACATCTTTCAAACCCCAACTGCAAACGAGTTGGCAGGGTTCTTTGTACGATATCTCTCGTGCTGTACTCTTAACGGGTGGCCCCTGAAGTGGCGGTTCTAAGTAAAGCTTAAATGAAATCTGTTAGGATGAGGGGGATTATGAACAATGTGACATGTCACTATCATATCCCATCTGATCTTCTGATATTGTACCGGCTGCAGCTTACGAGTAACTAAGGTAACATTTGTATCGTTCCCCAGTCACTTTCTTCGCAGCTCTTCTCTGAACCTGTTCTGGGGTGGCCATATCCTTCTTCAAGTATGAGGAAATTAGCAGCGAGTTTTAGAGGATGATGACAAATATAAAAGTCCATGCGCTGCCGCGGAAAGGCCCCTTAAGGTTCCCGAAAGAAACACCAGGATCCCATGGACCTTGTTGGCAACAGGGCATCGATGAACCGAAGATCCGGATGTCACTCTAAGTGACATCCAGATGTTTCCGAATGTTCGAGCGGCAGACATTTATTCCACTCAGCGAATAAGAAATGGGACTTCTAAATTTGTCAACAATTATCGTCCTACACTTTTCCTTTCTCAGAGTAGGCAGGTTTGCAGTAATTCAACTTGGGATTTTGAAAAGGCCTATCCGGACAACCCAGCCATCCGTTGGCTCTTGTATTTCTCCTCGAGCCTTAGACCATCGGCACATAAAAATGGACGGGAAATGAGGGGTCCTAATAAGTCATTAATAGAAACAAGAAACAGAATTCGACCAATGAGTGAACCGTGTTGGACGCCACTCGGCACCGGGGACCAGTTAGGTAAACGGAAGCCAACCCTAAATGGTTGCACCCTAGTGTAAAGGTAACCTCTAGGCAAAATGAATAACTTTCCATGTAAACCCACAAGCTGAAGTTTCCTGCACAAGACTTCATGATTTACCCTGGCAAAGGCAGTAGAGTTGAGTAAACCAATGTGAATGGGCCTTTTCCGCTCAAAAGAGAGAGTCCAGATATTCCAAGCCATCAACGAGTTAGTAGCACGTGACCTTCCAGGTAAAAAGGACCATGCTGACAGTTGTTTAGGGTTGAATTCTCGGGTAGGTGATTATGAAACGAGTCGGTTATTCCCCTTTCCATAACGTTTCCAACTGAAGAGATCGGGCGGATTGGTCTGCAGCCAGCGGCGGTCGGTCTGTTTCCTCCTTTCTATAGTGGGACGACACTGGCCCGTTTCTAACAGGAGCTCACCTTCCTTCCACAGGGGAACAACAGAAGAGGTTTGGTGGTGGGGCGCTCAGAACATCGGCACGCTCCTCAGGTAACCCTCGGTAGATATTGTCAGCCCCTGGAGACTTATTCAGATTCAAGTTCCCCAGGATTTTCCTGATTATAGTAGATCCAAACTACACATAACTTAGCCCTTCTGTGGAGCGGCTGTCTGACAGATGAGCAGCTGCCCCCCGCAGTCGACGGTCGTTTTAGAACTCCCGAACTAGTAAGCTTGCTTTTCTAGAGCTGGCTTGAAGACTGTCTAAACGGTTGGAGTCCTGCGTATTGTTGAAGTATCGCCCTTCCATTGCACCAGCGAGTATGTTGGCCCGTGATTTCCCTCCAGAGTTCTACACAGATGTGTCTGGTAGTTTACGGTCATTTATGCTTCTCATCCTCCATGTGTTAAGGATATCCTTGTGGTTATGCTGCTCAATAGAGCCGTTAGTGATCCCTCGTGGACTTCAAGATAACCGCTGGAGCTATATAGGCCTACGCACGCTCCACTTAAGCCAGGAGGAATAAAACTTGTTGCGTTCTCGTGTAATCAGAGGAGTGTGGTTATTTATCGCTAGAATGAATGTGTCCTTCGACGGTTCCCATCTGGGACCTAGCCCCAATAGTTCGTTGCAATTTAAGCAGGTGAAACCTTCTAGACCTTGTTGAAACTTTAAAAAATCAGTTCCCCCAAAATTCCCGGCCATTGGCGGATGAGGGGTGAGTGATTTGGATTTACAAATGTTAAGGGAATAAGCATATGGTCACTCACTCCAGGGGGGCTAAGAACATTCAAGTTAGTTACTGCGACGAACTGATTGGCAAAAGTATCATCGAGTCGGGATGGTTTATTGTCAAACCCCCAATGCGTACACCGAGAAGCATATGCAGTCAAGTTTTCCAACAGCAGTTTCTGAAATTTACCTGAATCAGCAGATGCAATTTTAGTGATGAAAGTTGAGAAAAGTAACGATCTCCTACAAGAAGCAACTGTGGAAAGTTCAAACCCAGAGTTCTTCCAATGCACTATGCCATCATCTTGGTAAACGTAGCGGTGACTCTACGAAGATAGTATAAAATTCCGACCAAACGGAGACTTTTGCAGCACTTGGCGCTACACCAAAGTGCACCTTTAAAGCTTGTTCCCCGGAGAAGATCTCATGAGCTATTCAGCCCACTAATCCCGCTGATCTATCCATCCTGATCAGGCTGAGCTCTTCCAGATAAATTTCTTTCTTTTACATCTTTTGTGAGACAATTCTCACAGATAGCCATTATCCCGGGACTATCTTCATCAACCAATACTCCTAGCTCAGGTGTATCGGGGCGCAGGCTACATTCAACATCAAAATTATGAGTGGAGGACACCAGTGGTTTTTGAACTTTTGCTCTAAGGTCCTGGGGCTTGGTTATTTCCATCCTGATAAATTCCTTCGGCGGTCACGGGGTCTCCTGAGTTTGCTTACTTACAGCTTCGGAGGTAGCGGTTGTCTATTTAAAGGCTCTCATTTGTGAATTGCTGGTTTATTTATTTGGGGGAGCGGCAGAGCTGCCGATAAAATCAGTTAATCTTTCGCAAATTTATGGAAAATAAGCGGTACTGGTGACAATATACGCAAGGTGTGAACTTATACGCGGATACAAGGCTCAGGCAATACAGGGATGGATGAAAAGTCTTCAGCTGCTACCGGGCAAGTGTTTGTGGCGAGCCATTTGCACTCACGTTCTTAGTGAGGAGCCGTTTGAAGAACTCGACTGGTACGACCATGGCTACTTCTTTCGATAGAGAGTTCCATAAGGCACACACTGTTATGAGGCGAAATTGGATCTTGCTGCCGTCACCGCCCTCTAACGAGGTATGTAGGTGGTGGTCTCGTGATACTGTCAATGTCGGGCCGACAGTGTTGTCCCCATCCGATATGTAGATAACCACTGCCGATCGTACCAATGTATAGTTGGCATTGAAATAAACTTTAGACTTTCATGCATGATCCGGGAAGGCATCACTTCTCACCACCTCGGGATGTGGGAGGAAAAATCTGAAGACTATCCGTACCGGGTTGTAATCTCCCTAGAATCCACAGTTCCTGTTGAAATTGCGTCTAGAACCGTTGGCAATGACTGCCGTCTTCGATTCCTGGCATCCACTCACATACCAACGAACCAAACTGAAATTGACCTCATACGAAGGACCGATCCAGAAAGCTCATCGAATGGCTTAATCCGAAACCTTATATATTCTCCCTCGTTATACGACAACAGCCTCTGGACAGAATTGCATCTTTGGTTTAATTTATTTAAATGACAACTCCATAGACCCAAACAGTCGTTACACACTGCACGACACCATAGGCACTGGCCTAAATTCCCTCCATCCACCCCTGTATTTGACCTTAGTTCCATAAGCTATCTGAAGATAACACAAGTTTACCGAATATTCACACATCTCCAGCTTCATTTATGCTCAAAGTTCGGTATCCGACGTGCCCCCACTGACTGTGCGACTGACTATTTTCAGGCTACTGCTCTCGCTGAGTGACTATACCCGTAATACTTTTCACTGCTGTCGTTTAAGAGAATGGCTCTTACCTAATATTTGTAACCATTTATGTCCAAACAAATGCATACTCCAGGAGACTATGTATTGCGTGATGATTAATTCTTTTCAAAATTTCGCAACTTAACTGAGAATGACAGCATTCGGACACTGTTTAGAAAAATGGTACGTGTTCGCATGATCCGCTACCCTAAATACATTGTTGTTGCGCTAATATTGGGGCGGTCCACTCGGCGGATGACCTTGTAGGCTGTTATTAGGTTGCCTGTCTTACTTCGATAGCCTAAGGTGAACAAGTTAGGTTTCACCTGTTAGTCTGACAGCCTGCCTTGTGACACTTCCCTGCACCCCTTGGGGTTACCCGCGTCCTCCTTCGATAGAGGAGAGGCTATCGCGTTGAAGGCCTGTAAGCGTGATCCAACGTAAGTTTTAAGTACTATGAAGAACAACCCAGAGGCCTGAGTCTCAACTTACCAAGTGAATAATGATATTTCCCCTTACTGTCATTCCCTTATAGTTGGGAGCCGTATCTAGTGTGCCATATCCGCTTAGTCTTAGGCCCTCCTCTGTGGATATCCTGTTGATTGTATACCTTTGGAGGATGCACCAGCTTTTCTTTACTTCCAGTGTGTGAAGAAACATCCCTTTATACTTCTCCGAGTTAAAACTCAGGCCACTCTCAGCCTACAAAGATTCCATTAGAGTACTCCGGGATCCTCTTCCCTACCTGCTGTCCTCCACATTTTGGTATCGTCAGCAAATGGGAGAACAGATGAGGGGCTTTGTTCAGAAGGTCACCTTTCAATGGTAAGAACAGAAGTCACGCAAGGGTTGCCTCATGAGAAACTCCCGGTCTTGCACTCTGCCAGGCCGATCCAATTCTGTTTACTTCAATACATAATTCTGTCTTGTGGATATGC